AAGCTTTATTTTTTATAAAAATTATATTGTACTACAAAGATCATATAAAAAATGATCTACATATACTCTACCCTTAATGTGTTTAAAATAAAGTATGCATTATGAATATTATGAATCTATGTATTTAATAAGTCATTTTGGTTTATGATTATTTACTATTTAATTTAAGTATAAAATTTTTTTGCCAATTTATGTTTTAAAATAGGAGATTTAACTTCATAATTTCATTTTGTTAAGTTAATTTAGGTAAGCATATTCTAATTTAAAATAAGTCATAAATACTTGCTTATATTTAATTTTCTTATATCGTAAATATGAAAAAAATATGATCTACATATTTAAAACAAGTCATTTGACCTATGAGTCGATAGTGCAGTGGTTAGTGCTCTGGGTCTCAATCGCAAGGTCACGAGTTCGAGTTCAGAGGGTAACAAAAACTCTGCCAGGACCACAATTGAAAAAAGATCTGCAGAGGATTTCTATTTAAAAAAAAAAAAAAAAAAAAAGCAAAAACAAGATTCATATGAAAAAGAATACAGTGACCAGCATAGCCATAGGGTTGGGAACAACCAGATAAGATGTAATCTGTCAACAAATGATGTTAACATTGAGAGAGCCTGATTTAAGAACATGTATAATTGAGAATATTGAAATTTACGGACGATCCGGCTGGTGGGTCATGTGAAGTTAAGGAACTGCGGACCGAAGAAAATAGTAGGTCCTACACTGCAGAACCAGGGACCCGGGACGTCATATGATGGACTTAATGGAGCATGAGTTATCTCACAGTTCGGTGACATACAGGAGCCACACGCCGTCCGATGATCTTCGCAGAATGATAACTCTGACCTTTAAGAGATGTGACAGGTTCTAAAGGTGTCTAAACCTTCAGGATAGCGGAGGGAGGTAAAAAAAAAAAAAGCTATTCGGATCGGTATTACAAATACTGAAAATAAACTAACCCTTCCTACTTTAGTTAAAACTTCTACCTAATACCCGAAAATAAACTACCTTTTAATTTTTGTTTGAAAATCTATAAAATTTATAGTTCCGAAGATAAGCTACCTGTATAAAAGTTATAACCTTTCAAATCTTAACCAATCAAACTTTAAAATATTTTAAATATGTAGTAGATTAAACCTGTGCATATAGTAAAGTGGTTAAATGTATAGTGACATTAAATGCCTATATCAACTTTACTGTCCCCTGTGATTATCCTGTCATCAAAAGTATTTTTTCAGGTTCAATATTAAAATGCGTGATAAATATAATTTAATATGTAAGCCAACAATTAAGAATCTCGAAAACATTTTGTAAATTTTCTGAGGAGCCTCAAATAAGTGAAACCTCATTATTCAAAGAAATTGAACGAGAAATTCACTTATTAGAGGGGTTTCAAATAATTGGCGCATTTTGAAATTAAAATTTCAAAATTATCTAAAAAAGGTATATACAAAACCATATTTATATATTCGGAAAATACATAAATTTTTTTTAAAAATACTTTTTCGCTTAACTAAAAAAATTTTATATTATATACATATTATATACATTCTAATAATAATTTTTATTATACTTCTGTGTCCTAATTTATATACTACTATTCCAATTGTAACTGTACTGGCTAATTCTGTTAGCTTTAATTTTACGCGTAAATGAAGCCCCTACATATGTTAACTCTTGTTACGCTTTTACTTGTAAATTCCCAAAAAATCACACTGAAACTATGGACATCAAATCTCATATTACTTCTTTGATTATTAGTTATAATGTGTGGGATAAATGCACAATTAATACTAGTAATAGGATAGAGATAGAATCGTGAATAAAATTGTATATATACAATTGACCCTCATTAATATCAACCTGCGCTAATATCAACCTAAGCCACAACCAAATTTTTATAAATTTTTATATCAACATGAATATAAAGATGATCCGAATAGGTTGACTGTACTTGTGTTGCATTTGCCAATTAGTGATATTTTTAAAATCTTCAGATTTGTCGACAAGTACGCCACTGATATTTGTTTTGTCAACCGTAAATTAATAGTTAGGATTTTGGGTTATGTTTTATCGATTCTTTATGTAATGAGTTAGGTTTATTAACAATAAATATCACATTTATCCACTTTACATGCATCTATCTATTCTCTAAATATAAATTATAAACTTTTTTTTGCGTATATTTATTGTTTGTAAGCTTCTTTATACTGTAACATTAATTAAAAATTATATATTTTGATTGGTCAATTATCATAGGAAATCATGGGTAGATCTATAAAAATTAGCTAATCATGCTAATGTCTTCCTATGAGTGCCACTTAAGGATATAGTAGAACTGATATGGCTTATGCCGTGGCTAGTTACGATATTGGCTTTAAATAGTTACGCCATAACCAGGGAAAACCCGGCTTTTAAATCCCGACAGGCTTTCCTCATGATGATTGTGCTTAAGATCTATTTTCTGAAAAAGGTTATCACCGGTTAATGTCAGAGGTGATTATCTAATTAGCCAATGAAAAATCTAGCTACCAAAATGTTAAAACGACAAGCCGCAAACTACAATAGATTTTTGAAACGATGATATTGACTAAACCGTTAAAAATTCTCCAAAACTGGATAGACTACAAACACTAGAATATCATATTGACGTATAACTTTTAAAACCGATTAAACACAACATATAATACGTATGCCAGATTTATTCCAAAGTTGGTAATGTCATAATAAAATTTTACCGTATTTGTCATTGTGCATATTATTTATTTGATTTATATCGATATGCATCAAAAATAAAATGTATATAAATACATTTGTTTGACATACTTTACTGTACATTTTCTTTCAGGTTTATGCGATCTTATCCTACGTATTTAAAAACTCAAATTCTCCAACTTTTCGATGTCAGTTTCTATAACTTATATGCGATTAAACACTAAATGGACAAAACGATCAAATCGTGCAAGACGTTTAAAATGCTATTATTTATTGAGAACGTTATTTACTCTTGCTGTTTTATTTGGTATAATTTTTTTTATGATCTGTGATCTTGAACTTAATATTAAAGTTTATTGGAGAGATTGGATTTCACATGAAGAATTTAAACATGAAAATTTAAGCAAATGTTTTGATAGCTTTTCTAATAATTCTGAACCATCAATCATTTATAATAACATTCTAACCACCTTACCCCTCACTTATGGTTGGGATTGTTACGATTTCGCAAGAAGTATAAAGTTAAAACCTGGCCAACCTCGAGAACATATAATCTACCATGCTTACTGGCGTGCTGATCTACGACCTTTTGGTGACAAACAAATCGCTACGTTAAAATCTTTCTTTGCTACTCAAGATGCAAAATATTCTTCACTCATTCTTTGGACTAATGGACATATTTTAACTGTTCCTTCTCTTGAACCGTTGCTTGAGCATTATTCCGATCGATTCATAATAAAATATTATAATGCCGTGATAGAAAGCAAAGGAACTCCTATGGAAGGTTCTCCCAACCTTAAACTTAATGATAAGCAAGCTTACCTTGATGGTGACTTGATTAGACTCCTTGTTTTATACAAATATGGTGGGGTATGGTTTGACATGGATTCTCTTTTTATACGTGATTTTGCTCCACTCATGGAGCACGAATGGCTTGGTCAATGGGATTGTTTTATGCCAAGAGGCTATCCATTTAACGGTGCTTTTATGAGATTTCGGAAGAATTCTCCTTATCTATGTGAATTCCTTTCCGAAATGGCTAATGGACCAGTTCCTAGTAAATCTTCAATTGACTGGGGTGGAAGACTTTATTATAAAATTTTTAGGCGTTTAATTCAAAATGAAAAAAAACCATTTGGAATGATTCCTTGGTGTTTTACTGATCCTCTCCTATGTAATCCGTCCAACTCGATGCCTAATGCATTTGATGAGGCAAAATTTGATGAGGAAAGATTATTGCAAGTATTTGCTTTTCACTGGCACAATCAATGGGATAAGGAAAAGGGAAGCTTATTTAGATTTCTGGAGCAAAGAAACAATGAGATTCTGGGATTTTAAGACATTTATTAAATAGTATAATTATAATATATAATAATTATTGATTTATTAATATATTTCGAAACAAAAAATCTGATACGTAAAAAAAAAAAAACGTGTATAAAAACTTTTATTACAAATTCGCCAAGCGTGACTTGATAATAAAATTAAAAATATAGAAATTGATACTTTGTAAATAAAAAACAAATAGTATTACTCATGACATATGGGCTAGGTACTGAGAAAAGGGACAAAATTGACAATTTTTTCAAAAGCTGTTTTTTTTTACATAAATCAATTTAAAATAAGATTAGAATCATTTTTCACTTAAGACTCAAAAGTAGATGTGTTAATAAAAATTTACAATATAGCTCCTTAAATTTTGCATTTTCTGAAGATTTATAGCATAAAAATTGATTTTCTGAAGACCTTTATTTTTGTCAATTTCGTCCCTTTTCTCAGCACCTATCCCATATTTACATAAAACACAAATAATAAACTTTAAAAAATATGAATCAATATAATGTTAAAATAAGCACTGATATAATGTATACCATCTCAATAGAGAATCCAATTTAATTTTAACGTAGTATAATCATACTTTTTTCAGTAAATCCCATTTCAAGCAAAGCTTGTTCGATGGTAAATAACATATCGGGTGGACCACAAACAATAATTTTTCCTTGTATTAGATCATCGCTTCTTCCATAATTTGCTAAATCTACATCAATGTTTTTAGGTGTTCTAAATTTTCCTGTTGACGCTTGCGACTCTGGCCTAGGACCCATATCAATTATACTGTCATCATCATATCTCTGATGATCACCATGAGATTGTGGTTGCGTAGGTGGTGGTGATTGAAGACTTATAATTGGCAAAGGACTCACACCCTGCTCATTTGCGTCACGACGTACAGAATGACTCTGAAGAATGCTCATGTAGTTATTATTTTCTGCTATCAATTGAGCGTTGTTTGGTGATTGGAGGAGTACACCTTTCATTAAGTTGATCCAATCTTGTATTATTTTCTTAGTAATTCTTCCTCGTAAACCATCCCAATCTGAAGGTGGCTCTGAAAGACAGTGCGTTACAGTAAGTTGTCCTCTACTTGTAAGTGCAAGATCTTCAAGCAATGCGCCATCGATAACATCTTCAATTTCACGGTTCCCAAATAATAAATGCATTCGTTTATATCCAACATATTGACCAGTATCATTTTTTTGTTTAATTGACTGTTCCAAATAATACTTGATTAACTATTATAGTGTTAAAAAAAAAGATTTGTTGAATACTTATGAGAATACTTAAGAGAATACTTGAGAAAATAATTTAATACTAATATCGAATTACCTGTAACATTGGTGTTATCCCTGTACCACCTAAAAACATAAAAAGAGATCATTAAGAAAACTGGCAATATTCGTTAATCAGGATTCAAAAGAAAAAAAACAAGTACCAGCAATCATATATAACTCGTCCCAGCAACCATCCGGACTATCTGGATTTAATAAAGAAGTCTTTGCTCCAGTAAATTTGGTGTAATGAGCATAAGGGGTATAGGATCTCGTAGGTGAAAGAATGCTCGTTTTCCGACTTAATGGATTTGCTAATGTAGGTGCAACATTTGAACTATGTCTATCACTAACATCAAATGGGCCACGTACTTGAATTTCGTATCCTATCAACTGTTCATTCTAAAAATGACAACCATTATTATTATTATCAAAAGCTTGAAAAAATATTATTTAGAGGGAAAAAATGGGAATGCTAATATATGCATACCAAATGCTGTGAAAAGAGCCCCTTTGGATAAATTTTTACATAAATGGAAAATGATTTGGATAAACTACCTTCCAAAGGAGTATAACTTCTAATCACAATTTGACCATTTACTCTAGATTGCACTTCAACGTAATGTCCAGGCAAAAACTTCTCAATGCTAACATCTTTCTCGCCTTGATGTACTATGGAAAATGTAAATCTCATCACAGGATATTTAACATTTGCATTAACCATTTGTTTGTTTGTAAGCTTATAACGATGAAATTTGTTAATTTTTGGAGTACTAGCCAACGCTCTATCAATTCCTACAAAATCGTTTGCTGGATTTTGATAAATAGATCCATCACTTGGAGCCAAACCCCCTTTTTCGCTTATTTTGTCATCCAATTTCCCTATAACCAATGTTGCCATTTTCTGTGTGGCAAATCTACTATGAGTATGTTGTGCCAATGGTGTCCTTAAATAGAATTTTGTATTAATGTTGTCAATAAATTTGGCAGCTGAGAGTCTTTTTTGAGGTGCTGGCGTTCCTTGAAGATGAGAGATATATTTTGTAAACGCAGATGAATGGGTTCCAGAAGGTACATCCTTTGGAATTAATAAAGCCTCCGGAGAATCTATATCTTCAACAATTTCATCGTTCTTGTGCGTGTTGTAAAAGTCTAACGAGAAAAATATACGTATTCATTTCCTTAAACATGCTTTGGTATATTTACCCAAATTTTTGTGGTAATTCTTACCGCTTGTAATATCTGTTCCAATAACCTATAATGAATAAATCGTAAAATTGTGAGTACTATAATTTAAAAATTAACTTATATAAATAGACTATCATAATATTTACACGTAATAATATTTGACTCCCCCCTATTATTATGTAAATTTATACATTAGCGTTAATTACAAAAATTTACATAAAAAATGGATAGCTGAAAAGACTTACCCGGATGAGAATCACACCAACTGTGGATATCTACCACAAGTCCATCACAAACAACTAAGTAAGCCTAAACAGTTGAGCAATTTATAGGTTAGTTATTTAAAGCAAGTAAATAAATTATAGTAATTTTGAAGGTAGCTCATTAGACAATTTCACTTTGGCTAATAAAGGGCTTTTGAATCCGCCCCACGATAATATTGTTGTAATAATATTGTATTTAATATACACCTACCCCACGTTGAACCCGTTCATTAATTTCTTCCCAGGTAAACTCGGGTAATTTAATATAATCTTTATAATTAATATGAGTATGCATCATCGTTTTCTTCTCTTCATTAGTCTCATCTTTAATACAAAAGAATTTATGAGAAAGTCCCTCAATACGCCACCAAAGTTCTCCGATTAGGAAGACACAAAGTATTATTAATATCCAACAACCGTAAGCAATTTTCCACCAAAACGAATTACTAATTGCAATAAAAATTTCAAAGTCAACAATGAAATATATTTTATAAAAAAATTATGTATTATACTTACTAGCCATAAGAGAGGCAAAAAGTGTCAATTCCTAAAAATTGAATGTATAAACGATTTGTATATTAACTTTATAAACTATGCGAAATAATTAATTTTGACATTTTTATAATTACCAAGATATACATTAACCCTACAATTTTATATTGATAAAAAAAAAAAGTATATATATATTTATTTAATGTATCTGAACTTTAATAACCAAATCAAATACGAGTAATTACAATGCTATTTACCATGCAGACAATATTAACGTTACACCAAAACACTTATGAATGCGCTTTGTAATCCTTGGTAATCCCTAATAAAAGGATTCAACACGGTTAAATATTAAACCAAAATATACGATGTCAAAAAATGCTGAACAAACCTTATTAACTGATACTATAGACGTTTGTCCCCATAAAGCAATCACACCAAGAGCTATAAAAATATTCACAAATTATTAAAATACTGTTATTAAATTCAATTGTCAAGTTGTGTTCAACGAAAGAGTACCTAATTCAACGAATGCCAAAGCATATACGACTAAACCCATCCTAAATTTTGTCAATAGTTAATATAAAAACGAATAATGATAACAGTACAAGCAAAATATATATATATATATAATACCAAGCATGTGGCGTTTGTGTTTGCACCATAGTTGAAATAGCCGCAGCACCAAATGTTGAAACTGAGAGACCACCCACCAACTGTACAAACCGATGAATTTTAAGGTGCTGATTATGATGCTATAAATAATAAATTTATGTCAAATAACCAGTTACAGGTTTAAATCGGGTTATATGAAGAAAATCCTAATTAAAGCTAATAAAATATTTACCTTCCAGTACCGAACAATAAAGATTGATATTGGAAATAAGATGCTAAACAATTGTAAAAAAATTTTTATAACCGTCAGATAATTATCTAGTAACTTGAAAATATTCTATGCTAATGTAGTAACTAAAGAACATTTATTTACCACCATGTAAAGAACATTCCGCAACCATGAATGAATCTAACCAATCTCTGAAGATTAAGAGTAGTTGCAGAACTAATCCCACTATCATAAAAATTCACTTGATTCAAGATGCGATTATTTTGGTGATAAGAGAAGGCATTACTATTTGGATTATATGCCATGATAACTATGTGTAATAAGTTAATAATTTAGTTTCAACATTGTAAAATTCAAGGCAACATACTATAAAGGTAACGAAAAATTAAAAAAAAAAATTTAATATCACACATTTCATATCACCATGCACAATTGGTTTTCTTCCTGGTGGATTGAGAAGTCTTTTGAACTCTACTGTTACAGCTTTTGAATTAGACATAGAAGCTGTTGGCACGAGAACGGGATCTTGTTTAGAATCTTGAAGGGGAGGATGGTAACCACCTATGTCAGCGTGGTAAGATCCTAATGTGACATTCCCATTAGTAACCTTTTTACAGAATAAATATAAAATATTTAGATAATAAGCTTCCGCGCAAAATACAAATCGTATATTCTAAAAGAACCTACAATTCCAATGATAAATTCGGCACCTTTCATTCCGTCATCGTCTGGACCAAACCCCTGTAATATGTTAATATAATTAACAAACTAATAGAAACAGGTTCAAAAAAAGGTAAATTATTAAAAATAAACTTACGATAAACTTACCATTCCAAACCAACCATTACCATCAGAAGTTTGTAATTGAACCTTGAAATATATATAAGTCAAATCAACCCTATAACTAATAATATATTGAGTCCAAATATTAATTTTGCTTGGATAATTATCATCATCACTACTGTTAAGTTTTATTTGAGGTTGGACGGCCCAAATATTTTGAGGAAAGGTTATATTTGGATTGATGTTACGAATGATGATATCTCGGAGTGTTGTATTTCGTATAATTTTTTGTTCATCAGCAGTAAACATATCAGGTTTCTCGAACCAAAAGTTATCAGAATCTCTAATATACGCATACTTTAAAAAAAAAATTTATTTAATGTAATTGCATAATCCAAAGAAAATTTACATGAGAAACATATAAAAATGATCACCTGCGTCACCATACTCGCATTCATAACCATGCCAAAGTTTGAACCATTTAAATGATCTTCACTCATCACACCGACCCACGACTCTACGGTCTCGATTCCTAAAATGAACACATAACTTGTCAACTAATAGTTTTGACTAAATAGTAGCATATTAACTAAATAGTCATGAATTAATCACTAATAGTCGTCAATTATAGTCATCGACTAATAAACGAAGTATATCAACTAATAATTATCGACTAATAATGTATATCAACTAATAATTATCGACTATTATTATAGTAACTACAAGAATCATAATTATATTCACCATTTGGATAGATTTTAGCCAAGTTTGCTTGAATGGTAGGATTGGAGGAAATGTCGGCAAACGACTGAGCCTTAGGAAAACCAAAGTATTGTCTGATCACATTATATAAAGGAATGCCTATTATAAACAATAATAAATTTTTTTTTTTAAAAAAAAAAAAAAAATTTATATAAAAATTTTTTTTAAAAAAAATGAAAATATAAATATCATACCACGATCTCTACTTCTTATAATGTCAAAAGCCACTAAATCATAGGTATGGTGATCAGGAGCCAGAGCACTTTTGGTTGAATCTGCAAAAAAAATATCAACTTCTTCCTGACGTTGGAGAGCCATAGACAAAAGTACTCTTGCTAAACCAAATGTCTCCAAGAGAGTGAGATTTTTAATATCGTTTAAAGCTAAATTATAAAGAGTATCACCGTATTCATCTTGAATTCGGTAAAAATCACTAAATAAATTCAAAAGGATTCTATTAGATACTTTAAAAGGGGGAAAAATAAAGTTGTAAATATCAACCTTAATTCACTATGACCGTATCGAAACGTGACAGTTGAAAAGAAAGTGTCAACACCTGTTTAATAAACATATAAAGTTAGAAATCAAGGGTTAACAACGGAGAGACTTTACCATATAATTTCTAACCTGGCTTAAGATTAGGATCATAGTTTTGGTAAGCAGGTAAAGGCCGACCAAGAACAGCACCAATATATTCCTCAGCAACAGCTTTTTGATAGAAGGCAATAGTCCAACGCCTCTAAAAAAATATATATATGAATTGAATAACAAACAACTAATTTATTAATAATGAAATTAACAAAGAGGGTGCTAATAAAGTAAACTATATCAAAGACCCACAGCTTCCTGAAAATATTGTTCATCAGTCCAGGAACTACCGTGTAATGTATATAATTCATCGCATAAACGGTTATGCTCGCGTAACCAGATTGTTTGGATAGCCAAAGTAAATATACTATATGAACGTTCCGAAGTCGCGCCCCAAATATAGGAACCATCAGAATTATTTTTTGGAGGAAATTGTTCACCATTGACAATAGATGTTTTTAATTTTCCTCTATTTGTTGAGGTATCACGAAGTCTGTTCATCGCGTCTTGATCACTGATACCATAAATATTATTAAGATCAAAAAAGGGGGTGACATTATTTATTCCACTAAGAAGAGGATTTCGAATTGGATTAGTATCATTATTACCATCAGACCGATTAGCAGGTAAAAAAGGTACACTAAGTTGGTATGGTGATATAGTGGAATTTGGATTTGGATTATAGAGAGGATCATCAGCTGGTAAGAACATAGGATAAGTTGGATTTGTGTTTTTTGAAGAAGTAATATCGAATGAAATATATTGGCCAAAGAAAGTAACCTATAATATATCATACAGTAAATAAAAAGACGAATAGAGCATAATTAATGCAATTAAGAAAATTTTATGAATAACTTACAAAATGGCTAGTTCGTCTGAATGAACGATAATTTGACAATGCGTCAACATTATAAAGCTGAACATTATAACTAGACATCATGTTTGTTATACATCGTGGCATAGGATATTGCCCAGAAGGTACTCTATCAGAGCACTTGATAGTTGTCGGCCCGATCGGGTTTAAACCGAGGAAATCAGTGGGAGACGTAACAGGAGAAGAATTTTGACTGAAAATGTAAACTTACAATTGTTATTTGAATGCATTGAATGCATTTAATGTATTTAAAATTAAATTAGAATTATAGATCAAATGATTACTTGAAATTCAGAGAACTAATGGCCCTTAAATAAGGTTGATGTGGGGTTCCGGCGACCGAATATTGAACATTGTTGTCACTACCATCAATCAAACGAGCTTCTACAACAACGTACTGAAGCAACAAGAATGAAAACAAAGTAATAAGGAGAAATATCGTTAATACCTGAGAAGGCATTATTTTTTTTATTCAATGACTTATTTACGATTGTAAAAAGTGAAAAGAACTAAAGAAATAACACCTTTGCTATATAGGTGTGTATGCATGCATTATAATCGGAGATCGCTTCCTATTGATCATAAAATGCATATAACAAATCCATTCTCATTACATTATAGAAAAGAATACATATACATTATTTTGGCTTAATTACATCTTTAAATTACTATATTCATAGAAAGGCTATGCAGGAAAAAACGGCCTTCCCCGTAGAGTCTATTTTTTTTTATAGATTAATTGAGTAGAAATCCAAAAATAAAATTACTGTTTAATTATCACATTGTTTGGATATACATGATGGACAAATCCGGACAAATCCCAAACCCCCCTAAAAAATAATTGCTAATTATAAAAAATTAAATCAAACAAATAATTCTAAAATTTTATAAATATATTATCTATAGCTATAAGAATATACGTACTTGATTTATTTAAACAATGATTATTAATAAAATTTTTGAGTTATGAATTTGGCCAGACCCTTTGAGTTTGTCCAAATTCATAACTCAAAAATTTTATTAATAATCATTGTTTAAATAAATCAAGTACGTAATTCTTATAGCTATAGATAATATATTTATAAAATTTTAGAATTATTTGTTTGATTTAATTTTTTATAATTAGCAATTATTTTTTAGGGTTGTCCACCGTGTATATGTTTGGATCGTCACAAATAGTAAATATCTGATGTAATCAAGATCCGGGTATTTTCCCATCCCTCTAAGTAATCCTCATTTATTGTAATACCCAGAACCGCTCTCGTGTCACCATCATCTTAAAAAATTTCGCTAGTCAATTAAATTTCAGCATTGCGAGAAAAAAAAAAGGTCGTTTCCTTGGTACTAATGTTGTAAGTGGAACTAAATTTAAGCATATTTGAAATTTGTCAATAAAATTATAATTTCAAGGTACGCCCTAGCCCTAAAATCCTACAATATTAATATGCCTTTCTAATAATAATATTAATTGTCGTGAAATCGGATCATCGTGAAATTTGAGGTAAATACGTATAAGCCTTACCAAAATCCACCTATACTCTTTCATTAATAACTTTAAAAAATCGTATACAAATGTCTTGTCTGCACCAAAGTGTCTGATTGGTCAGAACTGGCTCATGATTTTAATAACAGGTTCCGCTTTTGCAGAATTCATTAACGTTAATCATTTATCAGGAAATTTTTAATATGATGGTGTGATTGCTGCGCTTTGCAAAAAGATGTGACCTCTACAGATCACGATGTCATGTGTGAATCGGAGATTCTAAGAATTTTATAGGTTTAAAAGAATAGAAATATAAACAACAGACAATCCAAATCTCAGCAATTTTCCCCGATCATCACAAAAATTAGGTGGCCACATCTTTTTGCAAAGTGATATAAAAAATCTATAATCATCACGATATATGTTGTTGATCGACTACGTAAAAAATAATCGATTATAATCGATATTAGGATATCTGCATCGATTATAATCGATAACAAGTTTTTCCTTTTTTGTTTTAGAGACCAGAGTTATTGACTATGTGGTTTGGTGAATCTGAGGTGAATGTTCGAGATGTCTTTGATAAAGCCCGTGCTACTGCTCCATGTGTAATGTTCTTTGATGAATTGGATTTGATCGCAAAAGCTCGTGGATCCAATTTAGGTGATGGTGGCGGTGCTGATGACCGTGTTCTTAATCAAATTCTTACTGAAATGGATGATATAAACGCTAAAAAGAATGTATTTATTATCGGTGCCACAAATCGTCCAGATCAAATTGATCCGGCTCTGCTTCGTCCTGGTCGTCTTGACCAATTGATTTATATTCCTCTACCTGATGAGTCATCGAGGTTATCAATTTTGAAAGCCACATTACGAAAATCACCTGTATCTGACAAGGTTGAAAAACATTTGAGTTATTTAGCCAAGAAAACCGAAGGGTTCTCTGGTGCTGATTTGACAGAAATTTGTCAACGTGCATGTAAATTGGCGATCAGGGAAAGTATCGGAAAAGAAAAGAGATAACTGGTGAAGAAGCTACTATGGATGAAGATGAGGATGATCCAGTCCCTGAAATTACAATGTTTGTCATCATATTTTTTTTATTAAATGAGATTAAGATAAGTTATTACTTCTGTACTTATTATAAACTTATTACTATTATATTTCTGTTTTTTTAGTGCCCACTTCGAAGAAGCTATGAAAGTTGCTCGCTCAGTTTCTGATAGCGACATTCGCAGATATGAAATGTTTGCCCAAAACCTTCAATACTCTCGTGGCTTTGGATTGAACTTTAAATTCCCTGAAGATTCTAGCGAAGCCCTTCCACGGACATGGCAATGCTATGGTGCCGGAAGCTTATACCCGACAACCACGTGAAATGTTTCAATTTTCGCGTGACCGCAATTGACTAATAACGATAAATTTAATGTATTTCGACATTCTTGCGTATACTGCGCCAAAAAGACAGCATTTTTTTAAAACGCTAAAACTTTTTAAAGTCAAATTTTTAAAAAAAATTGACTGATAACTTTATACACAGGAATGAGCTCTACAAAGTTATCGGTTAATTTTTCTTTAAAAAATACTTCTGTAGAAAGTTATAGCTGTTCGAAAAAACCCAAATCTTCAAATTGGTATGACTCTTTATAGGAGAAGTTTATTAAAAAAATTAACTGATAACTTTGTAAAGCTCATTCCTGTGTATAAAGTTATCAGCCAATTTTTTTGTCTTTAAAAAGTTTTAGCGTTTTAAAAAATGCCGTCTTTTTGGCGCAGTATGCGCAAGAATGTCGAAATACATTAATTTTATTAGTCAATTGCAGTCACGCGAAAATTGAAACATTTCACGTAATTGTCGGATATAAGCTTCCGGCACCATAGTACTGCATTCGGTCGGGATGTTGATGGTGATGACGATTTGTGTGCTTAATTAACGTGTTTATCATATAATATAAGCCGTTTAAGGGTAGGGGGCACGTAGATCATTTTTATATAGTTATGTATGGGGAGCCCTAATTTCCCCCCAAGTTCTGATTGGATGCATGAAATACTATCTCCAATTGGATAAAATAGGTCACGCCACCCTTAGCACTGAGTTCAAAAAAAAAACTTCGATTAAAAATTGTCGGAATAAGTATCTTATTTTTAGTTTTACTGTTACAAAAAGAAAAGAAAATTTTAAAATAAATAAAAAATGTGCTTATTAAACATTTATCGTTATCGTTATGTGCGTACTAGTTCAAGTAAAAAAAATTTTTTATTCGATATTTCAAACGTTACAAGATAATTTTTGAAAAGTGCTTAAATATTTATCTTTATGTGCTACTGATTGCTTAAGTAAAATTTTTTATTTGTAACTCGGTACTTCATTGAGCATACAAATTTTCCATTAGCGAAATTTCGAAGTACAGTCAGATGCAATCAACTTTAAAGGCTTACTGTAATGAACATCGGTTCTATATAAAAGGTTGACCGTATTATGCCTTTTTTGCCCTAGTTTAGCTGCAAGGTTTGTATTATAATTATATTGTATTAATTTATGCGTGTATACTAACTTGGAAATAAAAAATATATTATCGCTATGTGAAAGAATTAGTATACACGCCTGGGTTAATACAATACAATTATAATACGAAACTTGCGACTACAAAAATAATAGTAAAGTCTTTGTCTCGAATGAACATAAACAGTTGAAATCTTTCAAATCTATCTTATATACTTTTTTGTTTGTGAATTAATTCTGCTGAATTTTTTAAGCAAATAACTTCAAATAAATTATTAAATTTCACTTCGCTAGTTCTGATTAGTAGATTTAAATATATGCGCATACAAAAATATGTAAATAAATAAAATTAATACTTATTTTGGCTTCTAATTTTTGTATTTGGAGCTATTTGATTGATTTGATGGATTCTTGGTTCATTATTGGTAATAGCTTGTGGAACCGATTCAATTCTTGCAATTCTTTCTTGTTCTGTTTGAATCACATGTTATAAAGCCATATGTAGGTTATAAATATCATCACCCTTTTTATTTTTCCATTCTGTGGAGATTGCAGCAAGCTCTTCACACAATTTTTCAAGCTGAAAGTTTTTATCTGTTGAAGGATTATAAGAATTAGAAGGACTAAATTCTATGTTTATGAGTAATAGTTGATCATCTTTTAAATTTTCATCATCTGGATGATTTTGTAACAGAATTGCAAATACATGCTTGCAGGACAATTGTCATAATTGAAAATCATGACAATTGCAAACATATGAAGTAATATCAAAATTTTTATCATCTGTAGTAGTATCTTTCTTTCTAATTGAATATTCTATATCTTCATTTATCAGAGAGCATATTATCCACATATTAGGTTGGATATTAAAAATATTATTGTTATTAATATGATTTGCACCAGCGATTTCTTTTGAATACATTGCTAATGTCATCATAAATTCATTCTGCCAATGTTTAGTTTATTTAAGAAAACTGAAAAATTCATATCATGAAATACAACCTTTACAAGAAGATGTACTTCATCATCAAGCTGTTTACCTATATGAAAAAAATCAAAAAAAAAATCAAAAAAAACTTAAAAAAAAAATTTTTTAAAAAAAATAAGAAAATTAAAAAAAAAATTTTTAAAAAAAGAAATTTAAAAAAAAAATTAAAAAAAGAGCTAATATTCTTGTGCATTTAGAAAATGTATGTCAGATTTGTGGCACAGACAAATTTCTTAAAATTCATAAAAGTTAGAGTTAGAGTTAGGATTAGTGATTAAAGAAAATAGGTATAATAATAGTAAAATTATTCAACAAAAAGTTTTTATTAGAGTGCAAAAAGTTGCTTATACTGATTTTTGAGTTATAAGTAATTTTTAGCAGAACAAACTTATGTTTTGAACTTTTTAATTATGTTATATTACAATGAATCTTGAAATCTGATTTGTAGTTCAAAACAAACCCAGTATACATTTTTTAATTGCTATTTTTGTCACATCTGAAAAATGATTTATCTAAAATAGCATCCTGGCTAAAATTATAATCTAATGCATGCATGAAGTTCTAATTTTAGAGTTTAATTTTAGCCAAGTGTTACTTTATTAGCACAATAAAAATAAAAAGATTATCAAATTTTATTAATATCAAGATATCTTGGATTAATTTTCAAAAATAATTTAAACATCTATTAAAATATAAGTCATAATAAAATTTGCATAGCTTTAATCAAAAATATCTTGATGACAACTCAATAAAATTTGATGAAATTCTTTTTTTTTTGAATTCTATAGAATTATAGAATTCAAATAAAAATAATAGTGTTAATATATTATTTTAGTTGGCTAAAAAATTTAGTCTTACTTGGTCATTCTCTCAAATAAATATATTTAAATTTATAATAGAACAATTCAATTAGATTATTCATATTTATCATATCTCTAGCAATTCTTCTAAAACTAATTATTCGCATTTCATACTTAGGCACTTATCAGCATTCGAAATAGTTAATAAAATTATTTATTTTGTCAATACTTGTTGCCCTTTACCAATTAATTGCTTCTATGCTTTGTACTTGAGCTTCTGTATTACTCTATTCCTTCTTTTTTAATAATTACCAAAGATCTTTCTAACCAATTTTTTTTAACAAATTAGTATTTATGTTACATTTATGACCAAGCTTTCTGTGCCAAGACTGTGATATATAAAAATGATACAGAAATACAGAACTATCAGGAAAGCTTTCCTGGGATGCTTTAATTTCTTTACTTGCATCATCAACTATAAAGATATCAAACTTCATCTTTTGTTTTCACATTTTATAAACTCAAACTACCACCTTAACCTCTGTGTTTGTTTAAATTTGCTTATTAAGAATGCCACTAGATACTCCCTATCTATGATTGGATGCCTTATCACAAGAGTGAACAGATGATAACTATAATGATTTATTCTGTAGGTTCCATTCAAATATACAACTTTTGCAGATTCTATCAGTTTTTTCTGCTCTTTAGTTTAGAACATAAACATAAACTCAATATTATCTGTCTCATTAAATTTTCTAAACAAACTTCACCCTTATCAATTATTTTATTTTTCTACATTTTCAGAGAACAGAACTCATCTTTATTGAAAAAAGCAGACATCTTCAATGTATTGTAAATGATAGCATAAATATCGTTTCATATAATTAATCTGTCTTGCAGTATTTGTACATTTTGTAAATGATCTTTTAAGCTAAGTTGATGCACCTAAAACCAAAAAAAAATTTAAATTAAATTAAATTAAAAAAAAATAAAAAGAAAAAAAAATGATAATAATTACAACAATAATTAAAAAAGAAGATACACCAAATAGGTTTTAATAGGATAATAAATAAATAAATAATAAAATAGATAAAAAATAAATTAAAAAAATAAAATCAGATAATAAATTAAAAAAAAATCAATTTATTGCTAGCAAAAACAGTGCTCAAACACTCATTAGAATTAATTAATGCTAAAATTTTTGTATTGTGCAATTTGATTTATTTGGGATGATAACCACTAGTAATGGATAGATTCACTCAAAAAAACAAAATAATGATAAATAATAAAAAATAAAAAATAAAAAATTTTAAATAAAAAAAAAACAAAGTAGTAAAAAAAAAAGAACAAAACCTGATTTTGTAGCTTAATAGCCCAAAATTGTATAAGTTTTTGTATACTAAAAACATTAAGCCTTTTAAAAGCATGTTGTTGGATAAACTGTTGAATATTTTTAGAAAAGGCCAATATGCATAAATCTGATATTTTATCAAGATAATGATTACAATATTTATAATAATGTTTTAAGGTAACCATTGAAGAATTTATAGAAAGCATGACATGAATGTAACTTTTGTATTTGCATTTTTTTGTTTTCTTTTGTACCAACTGTGGTTTTTTGTTTATATTTTTTTTGGTAACACTCTTATAAACCTTATAACAATAGTAATACTACTATTCATTCTACTTGTTTTTCTTTTTTTGCACCTATATTTGTTCAATGATCATGCCAATAATAGCTAAGACCTATCTTTTCAAGACTTTTTATCCATCTTTTATATTTATTTATCAGAAAATAATATATTTTTACTCTTTTTGTCTCTGAACTTTCTTTGATATTGTTATCAACAATTTCTTATGCTTGATCGATGCTGTTGGTTACATCTAAAACACAATTAAGTATATTATCAAGTTTATTGTCACTTATGTTTATATCTACATCATCTTCAATATTGTAAAGATTATTGATATTAAGAAAAATTGACATAGTAATCAGAATATAAAATTTATTTGGTTTTAAGATAGTTTTAAAAGATTCATTTATTGACAATATTTTGTATAGTTCAATATTTAATACAACAGATTAAAAAATAAAATAAAAAATTGAGCTATACAATTCTCTAATTGATTGTGAAGAGTTGCTATAATTAAAAAAATTGCCAAATGTTAGTACTAAAAAAATAAAAAAATTATTTAAACAAAAAAAAATTAATAATGTAATTATTTGGAATTTAATATATAATGTGATGCATAATAATAGTTTTTAACTACCCGACCTATAATGTAATTTATTTCATCCAATGAGGGAGGAATTTGCATTTGTTCAATCAGAACTTAGAAGAAAATTAGTAAATCTATT